TAGCTTTATAGCCTTCATCTGATCATCCGATCACGTCGCCCCGTCTAACTTACGACCATATACGACCGATGGTCTACTTCAGAATCTTATCAAGAATCTCAAGTATTAAAAAAGCGGAAAAGGGAGGGCAAAAAAAAAAAAAAAAAAAAAAAAAAAACAAGACGAAAACCCCGTAATACCGTCCTACCTAGAGACCCCCAATGGAATGAATATACATCATATTTGTAATTACTCTCTCCCCACCCTCTCTGCAATGTAAGCAGCTTCACTGTTTAAGTACCAATCTCCACTCATGTACCTGGCCGCACACCGAATTCATATCTCAGTGATTTGTCGCGTATGTGGTTTTGGAACCTGGAGTCGACATCTCTCTGTTCCAGGAAGGCCGAGACAGCAGCTCGGCAAGCGAATATAAGGTGTACGGTGTATAAGGTAGCACATATACTACGATATGGAAAGCCGTCCCTTCACCATCCAAAGCCAAACCACTGCAACGCTTGCGAGGAAACGCTACTAACAGCTGCAAGGTCCTCCTGCTTGTGTGTCCCTGCCCTCGACGGGCCCTAGGCTGACACCACCTGGTCGCTGACCCGGTCGGGTGTGGCGGGGGCCGACCTGGTCGAGAGGAAGCTTCTTTGCGATGGCAGTGAACAATTCTTGCACGTTTTCCGCCGTCTTGGCCGAGGTTTCGAAGAATAATAGACCGGCTTCGTTGGCATACGCTTCCGCTTCCGCCGTTGGAACTGCGCGCTTATCAGGCTGCTCGTTTACCAAATCTAATTTGTTACCAGCGAGAGCAATGATGATGTTCTCATTCGCCTGTCGCTGCAGTTCCTTTACCCACGCCTTTGCTTTGTCCAGTGATGTCTATAATTCGCTCGTGTTAGTCAAACCATGGCGTCTCGGCGGTGGCGTAGAAATTCACGTACGGATTGGGTGATGTCGTAAACAACAACCGCACAGTTGGCATTTCGGTAGTACATGGGCGCCAATGACTTATATCTCTCCTGACCAGCGGTGTCCCAGATCTCGAACTTGACGGTTGTGTTTTCGTCAAGGGATATGGTCTGTGTGAGAAAAGCAGCGCCGATGGTTGATTCCCTGTACGAGTCAAATTGATCCTAGATGAGTATAAGCAACACGACTCCATTATAGGGTATGTAGAGAGCGTTCACGAAGTACCTTAACGAATCTTAACACTATCGAGCTCTGATCGAAGAGAGTTAGCTTCATCAACATTCGCGCTAAGCATCAACGTCAGCATCGGGTTGTTACCTTTCCTACAGCAGACTCTCCTGGGCGTACATTAGTATTGTCCAGTACTACACATTCAGCGAGGGAGTAAACACACCCAGCAAAACCAACTTGAACTGTGCAAAGCGAGTGTTCATGCCGCGGCCCGCAGCAGGCCCTGCCCGAGAAGCCATTGCGAGAGGATCGGTGGTGCGGGATAGCCAAGGAGGGCGCAGACAATCGTTGCGCGGGTATGACGGATCGAGAGACAAAGGAGGCCGATTGGGGGGTGCACGGCGTATCTTATCGGAACGGAGCTTGGTGTATGCAGACTTCGAAAGAGTACGCGTGAGATAGAGAGAGCTGCAGAGGGATGAGGCGGCACGACGAGGTGGTCGAGTGGTAACGGGGTGGCGTCGTAGTGGGTGCGATGTGGTGGTGATGAGAAGGACGGTCACTGCCTAGATGGACGTTTTGATGGATGAAGTGAGGTGGAAGCTTGATGGTCCCAGTGTGAGCTGAGTACGCGGTAGGTACTTGGTAGTGGACAGTGCAGGTGGGTAGCGAGTGGCTGAGCGTCGAGATGAGCGCTGGGAAACTAGGGCGTTTAGGTGCTGTATGGAAGCTGGGTGTCAACTGGTTCCCGGATGCTATTTACTGCCAATTGTAGAGTGCCGAGTGACCTAGGTGCTAGGTAGAGCCAGGTCAGGTGGCGGCACAAAGTCAGCAGTAGGTACACTAAGTACTGAGGTACCTAAGGTATAGAATAAAACCAGAGAGATGTTGAATACGTACTGTATGGACAAACATCTGCCTAGCAGATACCTGCCCAGGTACAAATCTACCTAGGTACATGTAGATGGGGTCCTGGAAACTTGAAGGCCTGGATTGGACATGTGAATACGTACATATGTATATGTATGCATACTGGAGATACATCCAGCTATACTGCGTACTGCTTATAGGAATATGTATGATAACACTTTCCTGTACATATCCCTACCTCACATTTCCATCAAGAGCTACAACTACCAGTCCTACCTATTCATTACGACGACGGTTTTCAACCGATACCATATTCCAAGGCTTTCGGGCCGACGAGCGCTTGATAGTGTCCAATTCCTCGGCTTGGAGTCCGCCTGCTTGCCCTTGAAGTTATGAACGTGCGCCAAGCCGCACTCTCTTCCGGCCCATCATGACGCTTCCGTACCGGGATATCAATGTCCACGTTGCCGGCGAGTCTTACACGTTCACGTCGCCGTCTTCGCCCAATGCTCCAGCTCTAGTCATCGACCGGCCGACGGGCGATGTCCGCCTGAGCGAAACTGTCTCTGCCAATAGCAAGCGTGTAGCCCGTGTCTCTAGCATAGCCGGCATCCTAGGTCTCATTCGACTGAGGCTAGGTAAGTTTTCCCACCCCAGGACGGTATCACGCCTAGGGCTGACCAGCTGGGGATAGACAAGTATGTCATCGTCATCACGAAAGCCCAACCGGTGGGCCGCCTCAAGGGACACATGGTATACAAGGTCGTCTCAACCGACTTCCTACCGATGCGAGAACGTCAGATTCGCGACCCCGATGAAGACCAGTTCCTATTTCTGCTAAAAACGTTCATCATGACCGGCCCGATGTACTTCTCCTATTCGATCGATCTTACCAACAGCTTCCAAAGGCAGGCATCTATGGATAACTCTGCCCCTCTCTGGATGCGTGCCGATGATCGATTCTTCTGGAATAGGTTCGTGCAAAGCGACCTGATCGATTTTCGAAGGATGGGGAATCGGTCTCAGCAGGGTCCTCAGCCAGCTGCTGATCCTTTCATTCTGCCATTGATATGGGGTACACTGGAGATACGGCCGACCAAGTTCAAGGGCACCCCCCTAACCATCGCTCTCATCACTCGAAAGTCGAGATACCGTGCTGGTACCAGATATTTCACTAGAGGTCTCGATGAGGAAGGCCACGCCGCCAATTATAATGAGACCGAGCAAGTTGTCGTTTTGAACGACACAGGTGGTGGCCTGGGAGGCTACGCAGGAAGCACCGATATGCAAAGTGGCAAGTTTGGGGCGTCTAATGGGCGAGAGATGCAAATAATGTCCTACGTTCAAACGCGAGGAAGTGTGCCCGTCTACTGGTCAGAGATCAATGCTTTAAAGTATACGCCCAAACTTCAGGTCCGCGGAATTGAAACCGCCTTCTCTGCTGCCAAGAAGCATTTCGACGAGCAAATTCGCATATACGGCGACAATTACCTCGTTAATCTAGTCAATCAGAAAGGCCGTGAAAAGCGCGTGAAGGAAGCCTATGAACAAATGGTGGAAATGCTTCTAAGCTCGAAACAGGAAACCGTCAGCAAGGACCACATTACGGATGAGAAATTCCGGGTCGTTGAGCCCGACAACCCCAAGCAGGAATTCGACCGGTTGCACTATGTCTACTTCGATTTCCACCACGAGACCAAGGGACTCCAGATGCACCGTGCAATGATGCTCGTGGATAAGTTGCATGACGCACTGATAGCGCAGCAGTACTTTCGGGGCGTTGACATGCCGGCTAATGGCGGGCTGGAGACGAGGAATTTGCAAACCAGCGTTGTACGGACAAATTGCATGGATTCTCTCGACCGGACCAATGTGGTTCAGAGCATGCTGGCCAGATGGACCTTGGATCGCATCTTTGTAGACCTAGGCCTGCTTCAACGAGGCGAGACTTTTGCCACGGCGGACCCAGCATTCGAATTCCTCTTCCGCAACCTATGGGCGGACAATGCTGACACAGTATCCAAGGCGTATGCCGGTACGGGTGCGATGAAAACAGACCTTACGCGCTTGGGCAAGCGTACTAAACAGGGCACTCTCCAAGACGGTCACATTGCCGTGACCCGATACTATCTGAATAACTTCCGAGATGGGCCCCGGCAAGATGCATACGACCTCTTTCTAGGCGCTTATGAGCCTAATACAGCTAATATCGGTTCGTCGCTTATATTTGCCGACCGCAGGCCGATCCTTATCCAGAGCATTCCCTACATCCTCGCGTTCAGCATATTCTTTGCCTTTCTGGGGTTGTTTAGTAAACCTCTACCCGGTTCTACTGCCCTGCCTATGCGTTTGTTTGTCTTTTTCTGGATGATTGTGGCCGTCTGGTGTCTGAACTTCATACTCCAGAATGGCATGCTATTCGTAAGTAATGATTCGCTCACCCGACTCCACTCAACAACGATTTTATATTTACTACAAGCAAATGTACTGATACTGGTTTCAGGTGAATTGGCCGAAGCTGAACCCACGGCCATGGGCTATAGAGGGTTACCAAGAGACCATCGGAAAGATCAGGAAAGGTAAAGTGATAGGCCCCTTTGTGGCAAGGCATGAGCGCGGACTGAGCACGGCGAGATATCTCAATGCAGAGGAGGGAAAGAAGAGGATCGAATAACCTGCCGCCCTAGGTATTCCAACATGTTGAGCAATCCGAGCTACTAATTACCTTTTTGAACCCAGTTCAATGTGCGGTTTTTGTTCTTGCACATATTATATGGGAAAGAGGACAGGAGCAAAGTCGACTGCCTCCTACAGAGATAGATTTAGATCTTTAATTTGCTTTCAACACTCTTAATAAATAAGTTGATTAAATTAATCGACACATTATAATAGCAAGTAATTCTAATGATCTTTCACCTCTGCTAAAAATAGTTTACATTTATTAAACCTTTAGATCAGTTAGGTGCTTGTTAGTATTAACGAAATAGGAAAAAAGAAATTTACTCTCGATCGGGGAATCGAACCCCGGCCACCTGCGAACTGTTCCATGACAAGCAGGTATCCTTACCACTAGACCAATCGAGACTCTTTCTGGGTCATCCAGAGGAGGTGAGGAAGTGTGATTGGTCAAATTTTCAGAGCAGTTATAACCCGAGATTTTTCAGCTACCCACGGTGCCTCTGTCAAACCCCTTCCTTTGACAAACTATCAACTTTGATTCCACACAGTATTTACAATCTTATCATAGAGACATCTAAAGTAGACGCCTATTGACAGGACCTCGGCTAATACTATCAGCCATCTCGACTAATAATATTGTGTCTATACCCCATTGACCGGCACATAGTAACTCAACTTAGTTGACATTGGTTCTGTTTAACTATCCGCATTGAGGCTGATGCAAGGAACAATACCAAGATGGCGCTCAAGAGGTCACACACATATCGGACAGAGCAAGTAGATGACCGACGAAACACGTAGCATCCATGTGCTTATATCAGTTATTAGAAGCCCTCCCCTTCCTGGTGCAATTCAAGCGACTAGCTCAGGGACCGAAGAGGTAATCGGACCTCCAGTAGCAACTAGGTCGTAAATCTGCGTTTTGGATATGTCAAAGTGTCTCAGATGGATGTTATCGCTAGGCTCGAACACTGCAGGACCGCGGACGAGGCTATCGCACTGATGAAACCACGAAATTTGTGGTCTTTCGGCTAGAACTCCAGGGCCACTTAAAGTATAGCGCCGTCGAGTTTCAGCGCGAAGTTGTTAGTATCTCTTCTGTTGCTGTTTTTAGATGGGCTGGAATTCCGATCTCTTTCCTTCGAGCGTCCATAAGGATGTCAACGGAAGCCAGTATGCGGCTACTCTGGCTAACAATTAGGGATCTTATGCGGCCCCTGCCTCGGGGAAGTGTCATTCATGGCTCGTCCTTACTATTCTAAACGCGATACTTCTCTGCCAACGAATTGTTTATGTTTCCAGAACTCATTGCTATGTAGACCGCCTTCCGGCAACTTCCACTCAGATCTAGGGGGATATGGCGATTTATCAAACAGCAAACGAAGAGAATATCGCGTGGCTCCGGGCGAAGAATAGTAAATGGGTTTTATGAAATGGCCCCTCTCTATTCTGATCCTATATGACTTCGGTTTGAAGGCGTCATCTATGAGACTGCTCTCGTTAAGTGCAGCGTAGTTTAGCTGCGCTTGCGGCGGTACCCATTTTGGCAGCTTTCGAGTGATTGCAATTTGTAGTTGAACCTCTCCGAGGAGCTGGGGGTCTTGTGTGTCGAACGATAGCTAAAGTTGGATGCTGGCCGATGTGAGATAGATCACCCGACTTGGTGAGCTCCCAGTTGATCTCTGCACAAAGGAATTGAACTAGTCTACAACGGCACAACGACTATAATTAGTCAATGACTTAAAAGCCCAAGAAGATATAGATCTGAGGGTCTACTTACCTCGCCAGTGCCATCGCTGTTAAATTTGATTGATCTGCGTTCCCGGTAGAATACCAGTTCTCCTGTCCGCAGAGAATTGAGCAAACTGCTTCGTCGATCTTGATGATCGCTTCTCTCATAAGTAGAAGAGACTTTCTATCGCGGAAACTCGTACGAATTAGATTAACAACGGAAGCAGTCAGAAGATCGTCGATTGAAGGAAGGCTCTCGGATGGTTGCCCAGCATTCAGGAGTCAGCAGCGCCGTAGAGTGCCCATCTCAGCTAGGCTTGAAATGCGGGACAGGGGCTCTCTTTTTCTATTACTATTTTTCGGTCATGAAAAACATGTTAATATGTATAGAAGTCAGATCTGACAACAACGATAGGACTGAGCCGTCACGGTTTCTTTCTAAGTTCCTTGCAAGTTCGAAAGCTCGACGAAGGCTGTATCAGAATCGCAATGATAATTCGGTGACAAGTTTCGGGTAATAATTTAAGACATTAAATATACCCTGCCGACAGGAACGCCTTGATCGCAGACGTTGAACCTTACATTGCTCAAACTAGACAGGCTGAGAAGTTTCACTTCAAATACAGGTATAGTGTTCACGTCGCTATATATACTATCATCGCCAATCCTCTCCCAGTGTATTATCACGACACACTAGATTTCGATCTTTAAGCAGCAATATTTCTTAGGTGGTATCATAGGTACTAGAACCTGAGCCCTGAAATACAGCCAGCTGGCACACTCGTAACATCTGAAATCTGGCTGAGGAGCACTGTCGCACAGCATGTATAGAGAAGATTGAGCATGAAGACTTCGAAGAAGCTTGCGTCCTTTTCTGTGCCACATATCTGGGTAGCCACCATCCTCGAACTTGAGGCCCCGAGCTTTATTGACCAAGTCTTTAGGCGTTATTTGAAGTCAGAATCAGGATCAATCCAAATGGAAATAGCGACGGAAGAATCGGTAGAAGTACTTGCGGCTTACGCGAGGGTAGCACAGCCCCAAACGTTAGAGACAAGCAACTGATGCGCACATAAGGGACATACGTTAGCTCCATCGTCATGTCGACCTGAGACGGGCGGGGTTTTTAGCACGAATGTGATGAGAGAGATTTCTATAGCACGGTGTCGCTTCGGTATATTTGAATAACTGATATGGAATAAGAGACAACTCCTAGATACCAACATCAGCAGAACGACATATGCAGCAGAAGCGTGTCCGATAACTCACGGTGAGACGTGACCGGTACTCATCGATTAGATAAAGAGTGCCAGAGACAACATAGGCCAAGAGCGCCCTTAGTTTAACTGAAAGACTCAGGTTTATTACCATTGCCAGAGTTTCAAGTACCGAATGAGATCTTGACAATAACAAGAGGCTTCTTTCGAGAGCATACCTTCCTTTGCTTTAAACACTAAGCATATCCTAGATCGGTTACCTTCTTCCCATGCCATGATGGTGGTCGTAAAACCCAATCAACGTAGGATAGTCACAGTGTATCGCTTCTGTCGCCCGCTAAGAGGTCGCGAGCACTCTCACAGCGCTCTTATTTCCAGAGCAATTTTGCCCCCTGGGTCCCTCAGATTAGACATCCGTGGAATACTATTCACGTGCTCTGATATGGCGAAAACAGCGACGACGACAGCTGTCTCTATTCCTATGTTAAGCGCGCATAAGATCTTATTTCAATAGTATTCTTTCCGCTGGCGTGGCTGCTAAATGCGAAGCTGTGGACCCTTTCAAGGTCTAACCTGCGGACCTCACAGTTTCTACGACCTTCACTATCTCGAATCGAGCATGCTTTCAAGACGTCCAGTGCGATGCGTAGTACGTTGATATCAATATAAAATGTATTTATTTAGAGTTAACTGCTTATAGCTCCAACTACATTCTCAAGCCTAGCCGCCATCTAGTCTGTCGCCTTCCCAAAATCTAGACCAAAATCTAGAACCTTATATCGACAATAATACTGCATACACTATTCTCATAGCCCCGATCAGATAAAAGAATAGGTAGTAGTTATTCACATTTGACGAGCTAACTTTTTGGGTGATGTGTGAGTTGACAAAAAGGTAATCCGACCAGGGCCTGATTCGAACAGACGCTCCCGAAGGAACCAGATAACCGATTATAAACGTAATAATGCGTTAATTCGAGTCTGGCGCGATAACCACTCCGCCACCTGGCCTATGATGCTGTTTGGAAGTTAGAAAGAGCTATTATGTGTGGAGAAGCTGAGGGGTGGGGACGGGGGAAGGTCACTGTACAACTATGAGCCTAGAATAGGGGGAGGGAGTGAATATCCATTTATCTAAACACTGCACTGGTTCTACTGTATATGCGGCTATTAATCTGTGTTAAAGAGCAAGTGAGGACTCTTCACCATATTACCAGCGTTCGGGTTAGAAAGGGCGTCTCAGCCTCTACCATTATACCGTCATGTACTTGTACGGAGTAGGTACTGACTACTCGATACAGTGCGCGTCTACAGTGCTTGTTTATCAATCATTGAATTATGACTTAGAATGGTATTCCGAGGGCAAAAATAGTGGTATGCCACATGTCAACGCTGCTATTAACTATCGAAGCGCTTCACTGTCATGAACTTGTTCTGCCTTATATAGGATCAACGTGAACTGCTGCCGAGATGGTTCATCTACTAATCGCACAAAGAAATCATCCATGGTAGGTATACATCTCTAGAAAGGCGGAAAAACAAGGGGAAAAAAAATCTCTGGCCAACGAGGGAATCGAACCCCCGGTGCCTAGCGATGCAGAGTAACGATATTAACGCTGAGTGACGCTGAGTAAACGCTGAATAGCGCTTGATAAGTATGTTGTGTAGGTAGGTAGAGATGCTTCGCTAGGCCGTACCAACTCGGCCATTGGTATTATTTCGAGGATTTCAAGGCTTAAGTTGAATATAACCCTCTTTGCGGTGGTGTTGGTGAGCATAGAGTTTAGACTAAGGAAACTCTTTTTGAGCTGCCTGCCTTCTGCGAGCAAGGTTGACAGGCGTCCACCCACTATTAGTCCGCGTCGATGCGCCCGCCGCTAGCCCAAACTTTTGGTTAAGTCATCACGATGAAGAGATATCAACTTGTATGGTTCAACTAATGAGCCGGTGAGTCTTAGCTACGCACGTTTCGCGACTGGGCGCGGTGGATACCTAGTCGTATAACATGTCTAACAGATAATCTAGCGCACGTGGTGGTTACTGCATCGACTTGAGAAATAAGAGCTTGAAACTCAAAAGCAACAAGGTCTGGACTGAGTTTTGATGATATAAAGGACAGTGATATTGGTCTAGGACAGTTTTCCCCCGCTCTCAAGGTGTCCGTACCATGGCCGGGTGGCCGGCAAACACGCAGTCAGACTTCCCTTGACTCGGATTGGGCAGGACCGATCACCGAGTCGGTGGCTTTCAATAAATCGGATGATTCATCGGGATTCGCGACCAATTTCTATAGTAGCTTGTTCTGTTCTCGCCTTCTTCTAGCCCTATGAGCCGAGGATTGTGGCCGCGTCAAACCGGCGATGGGGGTATTCTGGATGTGAGGAAAGGACCACGAGACTTAGCTATTCGTTCTCTTCAGCTCTTGCCAATCAGGTTCTTCTTAGTCTGACCCTTTCTTCTCTGGGTCAGGCCATCCGGCCTAGGTCGACATCGCTGTATTTCGCACGAGTAGATCGATTTTCCGCTGCTGAGTCAGTTACTGGTAGATATATATGCTTGTTGTAGAGCATCCAGTTTGTGATACGTCGACATATTATTGGCAGTGTCTATATGTCTATCGTCATGACATTCTTGGTAGAGGCGTTTTCCTTGTTGGATGTTTCTGTTATCCGGGCAGGGTCACAGCCTGAGACCGAATACACATTACTGCCTGGAATTGATGACCTCATGATGTTAGGAAGGCACCATTGAAAACGCCTATTTGACCAAATTAATTGATTTGCTGTCGTCATCCAGGGATGATAATGGGAGAGCGTGCTTAGTTCGGCCTCGACTAGAAGAGTTGGCTCATGCAGGATCTAGATGTGTAGATTAAGGGATGCAAAACGGTGTTAACTGGTCGTAGCCCGCAAGATGCTGGGCCCTGTCTGTTTTGGGGGGCTTTATCACCCTGTTCGTCGGGAATGACAGGATACCTATCTATCAGGGCCGCGTAGGCTGGCATCGTGTGTGAAAAACAGCTATCTTCTCGTCTCCTTGTCTATAGTGCCTGTATCAAATGGCACCTAAAATCTCATACAATAAGATCATGAAATTGTAGTATGTTGCTCCATACAAGTATGACACAGGTTATGTCATGGGCCGGATCTGAGTATGGCCCGAGCTCTCCAGCTTCGTTACACCGTCAACGTGGATGACACACATGAGACCAATCACCAATCTTTCCTCTTAAGCATTACCTATCAGCCAGACCTGTGGGCATCGCTTTTTATAGCCAATAAAATACCGAGGGCTGGGGAAATTGATCAATGGGATTTGCTTATTGATTTAATTGCAAGGGAGAATCGTAGTGCTATAACTATTGGTTACAAGCAAACAATCCCTTACAAACACACCACCGGACTCATCTTTTCCCCTCTTACTATTCAGGTTTCATTGCTATCAGCTTCTCACAAATGTTAATGCTTCACCCCATGTGTGATTAATAATGCTTCATTAAACAGTCTACCCCCTTTGTGCGTATTCATACTCCGCGCGTTTATTCGTAGAAGGGGGTTAATGGCTGCTCATCGCCTGACCGTCTAATCCTTTATTACCAGCAGACCCCCCCTTTGGTCTCAAGTCTAAGACAACAACATCGCACAAGCCGCTTGGACCATCCTGTGACACTCTGGGTTTCTGCCCACCCATTGAGTCAGCATCTGGCGGTTTGCCATTTAACCACTTCAATGCTTGCTTAAATTACTTGCTCCTACACTCGGCTATTATCAATGTGGCTCTGCATCTACCACTTTCAGCAATCTAGTATAAATTGTGGCTTCCTTTCCCATACTCTGCATCTCGGTTATAAAATCACTCTCTCTTTAGACCAAAACACGGCCTCCTTCCCGTGTCACATTCCACGAGGTTGTAAAGGCAACTCTACGGTATGGGAGTTATAGGTACGACGCTTTAGTACATCTTTCCGACATCGCAGGTAATTACCCCCCTAAACCCAAGTCTCGAGCATGCGTCCTTGGCCTAAACCCCCTCAGAAAGTATCATTCGCGTAGCACTCTCCCAGCGTCCCCTGGTCCAGCCGTCACTTTAACGGTCCTCTTACGCCGAAACGCGGATCATTGTTCATTGCAAATGCTGATATCATCTACGAGCAGCTCGCCGTCGGCTACAGCAAACTTGGCAGACATCTCCTTATTCCGGCAAATTTCGACTCTTTTGCGACCTTTTAAAGCGCAAGTATCAGCACGCCGAAACCTGCTTAACCAATCAGTATATCGCCACATCGACCGAGCGTACATAAAAGAGAAAATGTGTCAACAAATCTACCTCCGTTTCCACAGCTGTCCTTGTCAGCTGCAGCACCGGCTGGAGGAGTGCGCTTATGGAAAATCCGACCCGCGGTGCCGTGAAGTCAAGGTATCTTTGAGGTAGAGCAGCAGAGACTACTGCCACTGGCACCAGCGGTGGAATATGATGCGGAACAGAGCATATGGCAACACAAATTGGGATGCTCATCACACGTCCGCGCTGTGCCGGCCCCAACACCGGCGACAAGGACGCTATTTCTCTCCCTATCACGAGAGTCCTATAAACCTGGACAAGTACGAGGACGACATGAATACGACGGAGACGACCGACAAGTCGAACACAAGGCACAGCGGTGATGGAGGCTGGCCCGACGAGTACGGACAGGGCGAGATCAGTCTGGCGAAGGGAGAGGGCAGGAACAGGAAAGCCCCGCCTCGGCCGCTCGCTACGGGGTGTGCGGCGAACTTCGAGATTTTCGGCGGCTGTGGCCCGAGAGAGGATGCGTTTTTGGACTAGGCTTGGTCCTGGCTCTGGCGCACATCAACTCAGACACCAATATGTGACATATTCGCCTTGTTTTCATTTCCCGTGAGAATACGTCCCACTGTTACGACATGTTACGCCATCGTCGTTTAGTTTGCGGGGGCGTCGAGACAATAAAGTGGGTGTGCGGCGGCTGCTTCTCAACTCCCCCCTTCGCTTTCGTCCGAGAATGGCATTTCTGGGAATCGAGGTTCTTATACGAAAACGACGAGAGAAAGAAGAAAAGAAGACGGATATACCGGCATCAAGAGAGCAACAAGGAATATGGAATCAGGCATAGGGGCAAAGAACAACTCACATCTCAATTACTTATTATCATATGTTATAGAGAAAAATCGGTGGAAAGCGCTGATATAGAGGGGACATCGGAGGCCAATCAAGGTTATAAGTCAGCGACTGTTCTTTAGCATATATCAGTAGACAGCAGTCATATCTATTATTTCCTTCAGCAGTTTAAGCTCCTACATATATGTAGGTAGTCTGCATTCCCTACCTAGTGTGTCATAACCCCGTGATGTAGGTAAAGTATAAAGCATGCGAAGCACCGATGAAGTGAGGCGGATACACTTGTACATGGGCTGATGCACTTACAAGACCCCGCTCGGCAGGGATTTTAATTGAAAATTCCTGTCTCGCGTGGATGTTGATCCTTCGCCAGTGTGTCTTTATGTATTGTATGTAGTACTGGGTGGTGTATCCGGTCAGCGTTCACGTTGGACTCGGCTAGTTGTTACTGTAGTATCAACGTTCGGCGCTGGTAAGACCGGAACCGGGCTAGAAAGTACATCTTGGAAATGAGCTGCAAGCGCCAAAGTTATTTGTTATCTTAACAGGAAGCCGAGCTTCTTGTGCAGAGAGACATGCAGAACTTTCCCTGTCTCCAGGTGTGTGGCAAGTGTAACACTAGCCCATACTGGATTCAGCACATACAGTACCTCTGTGATAGTGTAAGACGGGACCAACACTACAGTACGTAGTGTAAGTATGTACATAATACATCTGTATTATATATGGTTGCAGTAGGAAGCCCCGAGTTCTCCCCGCCCGTTCCACTTAGAATAAGCTACAGGGGAGGTGTGTGCGAGGAAGAGCTGCATACATACACATGCATGGAGTCTTAGAGTCTCGGCATTTAGGTCTATGTCATGCAAACAGCTTGGGAAACAGCGCGACGCAAATTCCAGAGCGATATCTCGCTAACCACAGAAGGCTACTAGCGAATTGTCATATCCACGGTGCTCTGGTTCACCTGCCTACATTTTGAAGGTGGTGATGATAACACAACAGACACTGTCGCTGTAGTAAATGTCTGTGTTCGCTAATTTCGATTTCACGACCATCAAGTACTCATCTAGGTACGATGTACCTAGGTACCTATTTGCCTTCAAATGTTGTGGGTACAGTACATGAACCACCCCCTGAGCTACCTACCAAAAAATACAGTACATGGGGGCCCATGACTGCAATGAGACAGACGATGGCACCACGCTACCACTCGGAGCTGCTCTTCCCTCAGCCGTCGATGATGATCTGAGAGCCTGCCGAGTCAATTGACGACTGTCTCCTTGAGCACCTAATCAATTGGTCAGCGACAACAACTTGGCTTTCCTGACATTGCCATATAAGCCAAAGAAGAATTCTGAATTCGGATCAAAAGGAGCGACAAAAGAGAATTCAGCAGCGACCCAGGTCAATCGGCCTAACTGTACCGTACCTGAAATCGCTGAAGATGTAAAATATTACTAGCGGGTAAGCAACCAAAGTGGAATGCATGGGGCTTCTGGAACAGCTTGTAATTATCCCTGCGGCAGGCTTAGCTTGGCCCTGAACGCCCCCCGGCTAGTTCGCCCTGGCATCCATTAAACCCCCGCTAACCAGCCCTCTGGGTGATACCTTGGGCTCCGCTATGGCGACGCTAAGGGAACCCGACATGCCTATCGCAGCCATGTTGGGAGCGGCCAGACAGGCTGTGATGGACGCTAATCTAATTCGGGACCTGCCCAGGGTTTAATGAGTCAGGTGATTTCGTGCCAGTATCCCGTTCTGCCAGACGCGTGGGCCAACGTCCATCGTCAATTAAGCGTGTTTGCCTGAAGATACGGGCTGCTTCTTCCTACTGCCACAGGCATTCATGCAGCAGCGTCGCCTTGCCGACATGGGTCTCCCACTATATATTGAGACATGCCCCCGAAAATTTCTGCTCTCCTATTCCTTCAAACAGAAGGGGGCTTCAACAGGTAGGCAAAATCATCTCGTTCCATCGTCGTTGTCATTTAATTTTTCCATTTCCATCATCACATTCATCAAATTCGTTGCCTTCAACCGCATGACTACCTATTATATCGGTCGAACACCACCAAGCTTGGACTTGGTAGCTCAGACAACAGAGCTGTTGATAATCTGCGACCGAGGAATATCTTAATAACTTCGAACTCCGATTGCCTATCGGTCGGAGATTGAAGCATCACACATAAACACACGACGGTCACACATACACACTCTACATGTCTACTCATTCCAACAAGATGCACAGCAAGCGCATGGATCCACCTCCAAGCAGGAGCTTTACCAAAGGTCACAGAGTGAGCAAATCGAGTGCTTCTTTCAGCAAGAGCAATGGCATAACCAAGCATCGGCATGATTCCCGCCGCCGCTTGACGACATCCATGTCACAGCAGATAGACGAGAATATGTCACCCGACAGGTACGAACAATCTGTCTCTTTATTCTATTATTTCTTACTTCCTCCTCTAACATCTTGCCTCCGTGCAGCAACCTGACACCCTCTATCGTGACCCTCGTCATCGGTCGAGACCAGCGAATCTTCGCAGCCCATGAAGATGTACTCTGCGCATCGCCATGGTTCCAACAGGCTTTGTCAGATCAATACCTGGATCCGCAACAGGGCAAACGGGTCCATCTGCCAGATGATGAACCGGAGATATTCTCTTCCATCCTCGAGTACCTCTACAAGGGAGACTATTACCCTCGACTAGTCCACAACAAGCGTCGCAATTCGTGGGAGATTGAACAACTCGACGAAGAGCGTGGTTCTGCCGAGGCTACCGTCTACCATCACGCCGTTGATGGTGATATCCTCAAGGATACCGTTATCTACTGCACGGCCGATAAATATGGGCTGGAGGAGCTCAAGCGCGTTGCGCTGCGGAAACAAGGTCTTCGTAAGTCTTCCTATTGCTCCTTTTCCGTTTCTCATGCTCACGATATAACAACAGAGTCTGGCGTCCAGTGCAGTACCATACTAGCGTCAGCCCGCTATGCATACGCTAATACGCCTGATACCGATTCCAAACTACGAGCACACTATCTCGCCCTCATCATTCGCAGCCGCAGCACCTTCAAGCGCAGCGGCACTATGCAACTAGAGATGTATAACGGCGGGTCACAGCTGTTCTTTGACCTCTTCGTCGCCTTGTGTAATCACGTCGATGATGTCTCTAGTGCTTCGTAAGTGTCGCTCTATTTGATTTATGTCATCCGATCTCACAGCTCACTAATTTTGATTTTATAGGAACACACCGCGTAGCAATCGCCACTTCTTCTAGGAACCCATTTTAATTCCCTTTGTGATACCCTACTACCATTTCTCCATTTTCGATCTTGGTTCCCATTTCATATATGCGGACCTTGTCACCAACCCCGTCTACTATGTGGGAGGTGTATCTAATGATTAACGTTGCCTTTTTCCATTCACCTTGCGCTGTTTCCATGCCCTGCCGCTTTCTAGGGAACAGCTCGATAAATCTGCTCGTCGCTGGCTTTATCGGCACAAATATCGCATCATGGGCGTCCTGGCGTTTATCTCACCGCGAACTGGATTTGATCTTCGACTTTCTGCTTTTTGTTTATGACGCTCTGTATTACTATTCTTATTTGATCTCTTCGTCCAGAGAAGAATGGACAGTAATAACTCGCCACCGCGGGCCTGCATGGCTCCTTTCTGCCTACGCGGCTCTATTAATCCTTCGGGCGCATTTGCCGAGGGAACATTGGCGAGGGAACACCAAAAAAACATAATAACGCTTGCCTGGGAACGGGCTTGGAAAGGATGCAACGGAACGTAGACTGCCAAACTGGAGGATTTCTTCGCCTTCTCATTTTATTGGCATTTCCTACTGTTTCCTTCGTCGCACGACATGATAACATATGTACGATTACAATTCTAGACTCTCGTTTACCTAAGGGTTCACATCCTTCCTCCCCAGCAGAAGGGAGGCGGACGGGTAGGTCAACAGGGAGATCGAGGCCGGTTTTCTCTGATTTTAGAAGCAATGAGCGGAAAAGAAATAACAGACTGAGGGAGGTGAAATGCTTTTGACGATGATGATAGATTGAAATTCTTGTATATACTATTCAATCAACCCCTCGATGACTCCACAAGTGTTCGTGTGTATAATATGGCTATGACCACCTCCATGCGACATGCGGACTCGTTTGACGTTAGAATGCGTTGTCGGAAGCACCCTATTGTTTCTAGTCTTCCAGTTTGAAAAACTATAGTTTCAATATAAGCCCTTAAGTATCCAGTATCTTCTTACGTCATAAGCATTTTAGAGGGCAATTCCCATCAGTGATTGGTTTACTTAATTGGCTCAATGGTCTAGTGGTATGATTCTCGCTTTGGGCCCTTAACCTAAATTGCGAGAGGCCCCGGGTTCGAATCCCGGTTGAGCCCTTGTTTTGCTGGAGTTGCATTGGTTTTTGCCAATTACCACAGCCATGTTCTATAAATGGTGCAATTTTTGTTGTAGGTTGGTTCTCGGGTCAAAAAGAACCATGATCGGTGCACGCCACTTACCTTTTACGGCTGCTTTCTCTTGAGCTTGCGGCCATATTGACAAGACGATAGATAGGCAATGCGACCCGCATCTCAGTGCTATTATTACCCATTACAACTACCTAGGCATTCTAACTCTATTCTGTTCTATTTACAATATTATAAGTATTCTCTGCAAGATGCTTCACAGCATGAACATAATTACCTAGTAAGTAGAGAACTCGTGAATAATTCAATTCATTATGTCTAACTACACAATACACCCATTTCCCACTCAGCAGTTCCCCCCGATTCGAGTCCTGTGCACTTAGTCTTATCTAAGCATGTCTTGTGATCCGGAGTTATCTCCCTGTTGTGTACCGCGATCTTGCTCTTGTCCTTGTCTTGATCACTCCACTCCATTGCAATCGTGGCTCTGGGGCAAGAGGCGATGACACTCATATGCGAGGGATGACTGGAGATGGGTGAGTCATGAGTGTGAGTGAGCACAAACAAGGCTTGCTTAGTTACACACACTCTAGCGCTGCGCTGTGCTACTGTTCCGTTTGTACTAACTAGAGAAGGTAGTAATACCTCAACGATTTGATTTGTACCGGCATTGCTGATTTGCTTTTCTAGTAATTTCAGATCATGGACACGTCCTCTAATTCGTTGTCTAAAGCGGCGTGAGGCTATATTGGTGCGCCAGCTTCTGCTGAGCCCACCTTGTCATTAAGCCTAGAACTTGGCTTCTGCTACAACGGAGGCGCTGGGAGTGGGTATCGCCCATGAATCCCATTTGATGTGTAGGTACATACACTACCCATAGCATTGTGTTGCGAGAATAGTTCCACCGATTTTTTTTTCGGTTCCTCCTCAGGGCAGAGTGGCAGGACAGCTATCCGATTGACTACGCAACGGCCGTTGTCGGCATTATCTGCGCTCCCTCCATCAATAATTATGTTCGCTATGATAGCGACACCTACCTACTGTAAGGCTGTCCAACCAGAATTTCTGCATTTTCATTTTGCCACCGACCGCGACGAGTAAAGCGCCTTACTCCCTAATCGCCCATTGCTATGCATATCGAGGACCCTCGTGCGCACACGTGTATTCTTTTGCTTGATGATCCCTTAGCGCCTGACTCATACTTTTGTTCCGGGAAAGGCACCGGACTTGCTCAATACTACTGTGCCGCGTTCGTGGGCAATGTAGCCTTTCATGAGATTCTAGGATGAAGTGTTAGCGACGCCCGAGGGAAATCCAAAGCAGGAGATAGCGTGTAGAAATCACTTGGAGGGCGCTAACACGTCCTGAAGAGAAATGAGCACGCTCTTTGAAACCTCCGGGGAGATGTAGGAAATGCTAGATGGTCATGTGTGAGCGACAGTTCTGGCTTACCTTATATATCATATTGGCCATGAGACATTCCACTTCATCGGAGTCAATGGCCTCTCCACTACTTATCTGCACAGCCGCTGTAAACTCGGTGATAGGGATTCTCGTCCTCCGCACGGGCGCTGCTCCGTCCTTGGCTTCCTCGAATCCTCCTGCTATGAATACCTTGCGTAATAAGTTACGCAGTACGATGTCACGCCCACGCTCCAGCGTCAAATAGACGCGTCGCTTTATGAACTCGTCTTCGCCGTCGCGCAGAGCGATATCAAAAGCTCTCAGATCGGATTTCTTGATTGCACGAGCCAGAGGCATGAATAGCTTCTGTAGTCGGGGGAATGGCTCGAGTAGCTGTGCACTGGGAAGTGTGTGGGTTGTTAAAAGACGGCAAGGGATAAGGTAAGTGAGGATGAGCCTAGAAGAAAATCAGCGCATGAGCCACAACAGAGGATGGGGGAGATACACACTCGAGATTTCGTTGCGCATCCTTATGACACAACAACCATGCCATCTCAAGATGTTTTTCAGCCTGATACATCGTTAGCCACCAAAAGAATTGGAATGGAAAACGCCTAGGATACTTGCCTCGACGTAATTCTCCTCTAGAAATGCTAAAACACCTTCATAGTATTTGAAAGTAACCTGCTGTGATTTGGGGAACTTATCAATTGGCGGAATATCACTCCGGCCGGCCGATATTGCCTTCAGGATGTTTTTTGAGAGCGGCTCTGAATTGAGCCTGAAGTAAGTTTTAAACAACAGATTGACCGCATAATAGACTCCCCATTTGCGAGATTCTTCCAGTGGAGCCCTAGTTCTTATCAGCTGGAGTCACAGACGGGCATCGAAAGACGAGGAGTATTCACCTATCCGAGGCACAAACCTGGAAGATTCTGTTTAAATGTCTCGCGCAATCTTCGAGACTCTTGTGCTCCTCTGCTTGCGGATCGAAATCGTCTTTCAGATCATCAATGGCCATATCGTCATTATTAAGAGCCCTCTCGGCATCGGCTCGCATGGCAAAGAGCCTCAAGTATTTTCCAGTGACATAAAGACAGGGAATGGTCCAGTTTTCAAAATCATGATTTGTATAACCCCGGATAGTGAGTAGCGTGAGTTCTTTCCATGCACCGTACACCTTAGCCCACGAAGACTTGGCCCAGTCAGCGCGAAGCCCTGTAGTTTTGGGATGAAGCACGAGCAATCAAGCCCCAGGAATGACGAGCTCGTTTGGGGGCAAACGGAAAATCGCTATCCCTATCAGGATCGGCTTACCTGGACATCATTTCGCAAGCCTTCAGCGGCTAGTATTTCTCCGATGGCTTTCCAATAAGTGGTGTAGATGGCATGCCACCCGGTTGCTTCTTCCTTGGACAACTTGATGCCGAGACGAGCCTGATCTTGGTGGAAAAGGAAGTTGAGATCGGCTGCCGTGGAACGGGCATCACCTCGTCCCCAGATGGCTTGGAGTTTGGCTGAGTGCGCTTGGACATCAGGGTTCAAAGTCTCGGCCAGTTGTTCACCATTCGTGGCAGCATATGCCGCCCGAAATTGGCGAATGAGGCCATCCATGGCCGGATTGAGTATGGCACTAGGTAGTAACTGCAGCAATAGACTCGATGAAGTGACTTCAGCCTGTGGTTGCCGACGCGATAGGTTATAAGGTAGATGAGGTCCTTGAGAGGCCGTCGCCGTTTCTATCCCTTTCTCGTCGAACTTACAGAAAGTTAGATAAAATAATCGTCAACCTTTCTCAAGAATGGCCATGAAGAGGCTTGGTTCTTTGAAGTGATACACGATGATTGGTTGAAACAATCACCAGTCATTGAATGAAGGCGGGCCCTTACATGCACATGTGAGCTACCTAGGTAGTACCCGTAAGTAGGTACCTAGGTACCTTAGCTAGGTACGCTACCTACCTAGGTACATACATAGGTATGCGTAATGTGCCTACCCCATCCGCACTCTTCGACCCCGAAAGCTCAGCCACTCGAGCCACGGTTACCCCCAGAGCCTTGGATGGATTCTAGGTGGTCTGTGTGGCACGACCACACGAACCCGCCACACAAAGGCCGAATTGCTTGCTAGGGCGGGAAACCCTTAGCACAGAATTTCGCAAAAAGTTCTCGTAGCCGAAGACGTGCCCTAACGCCGCCTCCACTACAAGCACCCGACCAGATCTACCCTTCATACTAACCTCCCACGACAACAGGACCGGATTCAATTCACAGTAGGTTGCAGTCTCTTGTCTCTCGTCTCTCCGGCATGCATTTTCTCGTATACTGACGGTTATTAATTCCAGATGGGTAAGCGATTTTCTTTTCGTTCGATGATGCAATTGCAGCCGCTGGGAACTCGACATCGACGACAGCCTCGGAGAAATCTCCACGAAGGACCTGCAAGCGAGCGAGCTTAGTACTACGATACAACGATGCAACATAGACGCTATGTTCTTGGTGCTTGGAAAGATATTCGACCATAGCAGAAGAGGGATTGAAGGATGGGCATGCCGCTAGGGGGAAATTGACCAGCATGACCTTTGTGAGACTCTGCCATTGGCATGAGTGCACTTCTACCGACACGCCGGAGCCCGCCACCATATCTTCTCTTTCAGCGAACATTTCGTCTCTCGACCCGGGCGTTGTCGATTGTCTCTGTCTCAGCCGTTCCGAATTGCTGCCTGCATCTGACACCGCACACACTGGTCTGTCAGTCGCTAATTCGATGCTATCAGGTCGACTTCAGGAATACCAGGTCATCGGGCGCCACCTGCCCACCGAGACCAACCCCACCCCGAAACTGTACCGCATGCGCATCTTCGCCCCCAATGAGGTCGTTGCCAAGTCTCGCTTCTGGTACTTCCTCATGAAGCTGAAGAAGGTCAAGAAGGCCAACGGTGAGATTGTTAGCCTGAACAAGGTATGTCTAGATCCACAATGGAATAGGGTGGCATAGAGAATCATATGGAGACTGATTCATTCGTAATAGATCAACGAGAAGAACCCCCTGCGCGTCAAGAACTTCGGTATCTGGATCCGATACGACTCTCGCTCCGGCACCCACAACATGTACAAGGAGTACCGTGAGCTCTCGAGAACAGATGCTGTCGAGGCTCTCTACTCGGACATGGCTGCCCGCCACCGTGCCCGTTTTAGGTCGATCCACGTACGAGACACCAACATTGCTGAAAAAAATAAGACAAAGGCGGCTCTTGCTAACGTGAATTCAGATCCTCCGCGTTGTCGAGATCGAGAAGACTGAAGATATCAAGCGTCCCTACATCAAGCAGCTCGTCAGCAAGAACCTGTCGTTCCCTCTACCCCACCGTGTCCCCCGTCTCAACAACAAGAAGGTCTTCAGCGCCACTCGCCCGTCCACGTTCGCATAAATTGGGGGTTTCTTGTGTTATGTGTGTGATGAGAGGTTTATGGGAAATGGTCTTTGCCCCGGTGTTCACTACGGTATTACGGAAAAACTTCGTCACGATCAATTCAGCATGACGGCTCTTAAAGAGGATAGAGCTT